AGAGACTCCCAGCCTCCCACTGCCCGGCCTCCTCCCAGAGAGACTCCCAGTGCCCAGCCTCCTTCCAGAGAGACTCCCAGCCTCCCAGTACCCGGCCTCCTCCCAGAGAGCCTCCCAGCCTCCCAGAACCCGGCCTCCTTCCAGAGAGACTCCCAGCCTACCAGAACCCGGCCTCCTTCTAGAGAGACTCCCAGCCTTCCAGTGCCTGGCCTCCTTCCAGAGAGACTCCCTGCCTCCCAGTGCCTGGCCTCCTTCTAGAAAGGCTCTCAGCCTCCCAGTGCCCGGCCTCCTTCTAGAGAGCCTCCCAGGTGCTCCATCAATCTTGCCCTTCTCACAGTCTGACTTGGCCTCCTCTATTAGGCTGTGCCTGGCTCTGACATTTGTCTGTCTCCATAATGACAGCATTGTGTGTTTACACTGAGTAATTCTGTCAGAGCTCCCACACTGCACATGGCAATCACTACCAACAGCTCACACTACACATAGCGATCACTACCAACCGCTCACACTACACATAGCGATCACTACCAACCGCTCACACTACACAAAGCAATCACTACCAACCGCTCACACTACACAAAGCAATCACTACCAACAGCTCACACTACACATGCCGATCACTACCAACAGCTCACACTACACAAAGCAATCACTACCAACAGCTCACACTACACATAGCGATCACTACCAACAGCTCACACTACACAAAGCAATCACTACCAACAGCTCACACTACACATGCCGATCACTACCAACAGCTTACACTACACATAGCGATCACTACCAACAGCTCACACTACACAAAGCAATCACTAGCAACAGCTTACACTACACATAGCGATCACTACCAACAGCTCACACTACACAAAGCAATCACTACCAACAGCTCACACTACACATGCCGATCACTACCAACAGCTTACACTACACATAGCGATCACTACCAACAGCTCACACTACACAAAGCAATCACTACCAACAGCTCACACTACACATGCCGATCACTACCAACAGCTTACACTACACATAGCGATCACTACCAACAGCTCACACTACACAAAGCAATCACTACCAACAGCTCACACTACACATGCCGATCACTACCAACCGCTCACACTACACAAAGCAATCACTACCAACAGCTCACACTACATATAGCGATCACTACCAACAGCTCACACTACACAAAGCAATCACTACCAACCGCTCACACTACACATAGCGATCACTACCAACTGCTCACACTACATATAGCGATCACTACCAACTGCTCACACTACATATAGCGATCACTACCAACAGCTCACACTACACATAGCGATCACTACCAACTGCTCACACTACATATAGCGATCACTACCAACTGCTCACACTACACAAAGCAATCACTACCAACAGCTCACACTACACATGCCGATCACTACCAACTGCTCACACTACATATAGCGATCACTACCAACTGCTCACACTACATATAGCGATCACTACCAACTGCTCACACTACACAAAGCAATCACTACCAACAGCTCACACTACACATGCCGATCACTACCAACAGCTTACACTAAACAAAGCAATCATTTTGCCACGATCAGACAGCAGTCAGTATATGGTTGGTCGTTATTAGAGAGATTGATCAGACAGCAGTCAGTATATGGTCGGTCGTTATTAGAGTTTGGTCAGACAGCAGTTAGTATATGGTCGGTCGTTATTAGAGAGATTGATCAGACAGCAGTCAGTATATGGTCGGTCGTTATTAGAGTTTGGTCAGACAGCAGTCAGTATATGGTCGGTCGTTATTAGAGTTTGGTCAGACAGCAGTCAGTATATGGTCGGTCGTTATTAGAGAGATTGATCAGACAGCAGTCAGTATATGGTCGGTCGTTATTAGAGTTTGGTCAGACAGCAGTCAGTATATGGTTGGTCGTTATAAGAGTTTGGTCAGACAGCAGTCAGTATATGGTTGGTCGTTATTAGAGAGATTGATCAGACAGCAGTCAGTATATGGTCGGTCGTTATTAGAGTTTTGTCAGACAGCAGTTAGTATATGGTCGGTCGTTATAAGAGTTTGGTCAGACAGCAGTCAGTATATGGTTGGTCGTTATTAGAGTTTGGTCAGACAGCAGTCAGTATATGGTCGGTCGTTATTAGAGTTTGGTCAGACAGCAGTTAGTATATGGTCGGTCGTTATTAGAGTTTGGTCAGACAGCAGTCAGTATATGGTCGGTCGTTATTAGAGTTTGGTCAGACAGCAGTCAGTATATGGTCGGTCGTTATTAGAGTTTGGTCAGACAGCAGTATATGGTCGGTCGTTATTAGAGTTTGGTCAGACAGCAGTTAGTATATGGTCGGTCGTTATTAGAGTTTGGTCAGACAGCAGTTAGTATATGGTCGGTCGTTATTAGAGTTTGGTCAGACAGCAGTTCGTATATGGTCGGTCGTTATTAGAGTTTGGTCAGACAGCAGTTAGTATATGGTCGGTCGTTATTAGAGTTTGGTCAGACAGCAGTTCGTATATGGTCGGTCGTTATTAGAGTTTGGTCAGACAGCAGTTCGTATATGGTCGGTCGTTATTAGAGTTTGGTCAGACAGCAGTTAGTATATGGTCGGTCGTTATTAGAGTTTGGTCAGCGTTACAGAGTGATATTATAGTGAGTAGTATAGTGAGCCCTGGAGAAAGCTTCTTGCATGCTGGGAGTGGAATGTTCTGCGCTGATCCGGACAATGGGCACATTCCATTCGTGCTGGGATGGTGAGAAGATGGTCCCATGTATCCATGACAACAGTCTTCAAGGAAAGGGGCCCCTTCAGGCCTCTCCAGAGAATAGTACTGAGAGAAGTGGACTGGTTTTAGGACCCACATAGAGGGGTGCAGTAATACACAAGGTGTCAGTGCAGTGTTAGTTTTGGTGGCAAATTTTATTTTAGTTTTAGTCTTAGTTTTTTGGTTAAAAAACATTTCAGTTTTAGTTGTATTTTGGATATCTTAATTGTTTTAGTTTTAGTCGTATTTTGGTAGAGTAAACTTGTTAGTGAACATTGTGTCAGTGTGTTACGTTTGCAATGATCTCTATAGAACTTCAATTCATTTTACTAGATTTAGAATATCGTTCTATGTGGTCTGAGCGAGCGCAGGGAAATCCCAAACCATAAATCCCTGAGGCCGTAATTTGAATATCACTGCCAAGTACAAACTGTTTTTCTGTGTATGTGGGTGGTGGTTGCTTCTACAGAACCCACGTGGCCGTGACCTGTGGAAAGGTGGGAGGAAGCCATTTTACAGGGGCTGGTGCAGCCTGTTTTGACGTTCCTTCAAGGAAAGACACCCAACACACATAGTTACAGGTCCGCCAACATGCTATTAGAAAGCAGATAAAACAGGCCCGTAGTGTATTACTGCTTAAAGGGACACGGTAACCACTTCATCTCACTGAAGTGGTTATAGTGTCTGGAATTTCATGGTGCCATCCTTCCATACAGAGTTACAATGTACAGAGTTACAATGTACAGAGTTACAATGTCATGCTCCGGCATCAGTAAGCGGCGCGCGAGGGAGCTGAACAGGAGGACCTCCCTCGCGCGCCAGCAGGACCAGCCGCCCAGCAATACCACTGGACCCCAAGGAATCCCCTCAGCACTCCCAAAGGTAGGGAAGCGGGGCGATCACTTTTTAAAAAAAACATGTATATGTGTGTTAGTTTTTGTGTCAGTGTGTGTGTGTCTGCTAGTGAGTGTCAGTGTGTGTGTTAGTTTGTGTGTCAGTGAGCTTGTTACTGTTGTCTGTTACCGAGTGTGTTAGTTTGTGTGTGTTTGTTAGTAAGTCTGTTTGATGTCTGTTAGTTAGTGTGTGTTTGTCAGTGAGAGTGTATGTTTTGTAAGTGAGTGTGTATGTGTGTCTGTCTGTCAGTGAGTGTGTATGTCTGTATGTCGCTGAGTGTGTCTCTGTCAGTAAATGTGTGTGTCTGTAAGCTAGTGTGTATGCGTCTGTTCGTGAGAGTGTGTGTGTTTAAAACCCCTTCAGCACTTACCTTTCTCCAGCGCCGGACTTCCTTGGTGCTGGGGATCCCTCCGCCCTGATCCGCCTCTCAGCTCCGAATGCGCATGTGCGCACATTCAAACCGCCCATAGGAAAGCAGATGCTTTCCTATGGACGTCCAGCATCTTCTCACTGTGATTTTTCACAGTGAGAATCGCAGAAGCGCCTCTAGCGGCTGTCAGTGAGACAGCCACTAGAGGCTGGATTAACCCTCTCTGAAACTGCTATGTTTTCAGCTGCAGGGTTCAAACTAGAGGGACCTGGCACCCAGACTACTTCATTGAGCTGATGTGATCTGGGTGTCTGTAGTGGTACATACAGGGGTCGCAGCCATGTGTTGTGGCCCCGGTCCGCGCAGGGGTATGGGGGGGCCCACGGATCAATTTTCGCACTGGGGCCCCATGGGTCGTGTGTACGCCACTGGCCTAAGCCACACCTCCATTGGGGGCAAAATAGCAATTAACGATCCGATTTAAAGCCAGAAGATCCAAACTCGCTGTAGGCGCTCTCTCGAGTACAGAATATCACAATAGGACACAGGACTGCAGGAAAGATGGAAGGAGATACGGTGGTGCCAATATAAAGCCAGAATGTGAGTGCATAACTCTGTATTATGACATCAAACTGGGAATTATAAATAGACATCCAACGAGACCATCATAAGAACAGGACAACACGCCTGATCACTAATAGTAGCGGGGGGACCGACGCCGGGGCCTGGCCCGAAGCAACAAAGACCCTTCTTCATACCCCTCCCCCCCCTTTTTTTTCTTAGCTCTTCCTTACTCTCTCCTGCTTCTGCCCCCCTCCCCCCACACACACATTTCATGCCCATTCCTTAATGTATCACCCACCTGTTATGTTCTTCATAAACAGTAGCCACAACACCGGACAGTAATGCATATCCGACCAAACTTGACAGACACAGACTTGGCTGCTAGATACGTGTCATTTCTCCTTCCCGAGAAACTCACAGTGATGGAAATGCTGAACTGAAATGTAAATAAATGAATGAAAGACATCTCAGTGACCTCTTCCTAGGAGAGGGTCAGTGGGAAAGAGTACAGGGCGTCTTTCATGTCCACCACTTTTGTTTTGCACGTTTAGGTAGCACTATGCACACTTACATTGAGTTTGTACTGGAGGGACCTTGGTTTAGGTAGGCACAAGCCCAGTGCGGCACCGTGGTATTTTAGGGGCGGCCGTGGTTGTTTAGGTGGATTTAAGGGACTCGAATATCTATACTTATCCATAGCCCCTATTAGTTTGGCTTCCCCTTAGTGGGTTACCGGTAGGAGCTTTATGGATTAGGTTGTACCATCTCTTTCCACCTCCCTTATCTCTATTTTGCCAGTGGTGTATTTATACTTTTTGGGGTAAGCCTCTCTCTCCTTTTTCTTGTTTCTCCAATGAGTTTCTATACCCTCTCTGGTGTCATTGAGAGGACTCTAGATAAAGTCTGTCTCCATCTCAGGATCCCTCTATTCTATTAACTTCTGACCTAACACTTTGAGTTTGGCTATATTGATAGGAGTTGGTTATTCCATTCTATCCCTGGAATTGTATGTCCACAAGAGTAGAATTTTACCTGACACTTTTTATACCAAGAGTCCCTCTAAGGATTTAGTGGCTCAATCTTTTGGATATTAATAAATGTTGGATTTTATTTTGTTTGGCTAGTAATCCATTAGACTGTACTCTTTCCCACTGACCCCCCTCCTAGGAGGAGGTGACTGGGATCTTGTATTTGATTCATTTATTTACGGTAAGTGTTTAAGGGCTACCCCCTAATAGTAAGTACAGTCTAGGTGACCTCCCTAGTGCCGGTGCAAGGGTTTTTGGCTACACAGGTGAAGATGCATTTTGCCTCCCCCCCAAATAAAAATGCATCTTCACCGGTGTCTCATAAACCCCCTTTTGAATTTTGAGGCAGGGCCAGACGCAGAGCCATAGCCAGAGGCAGAACCAGAGTGAGAGGCAGAGCCAAAGGCAGAGGTGTGGTGGAATCTCGGTAAAAATAAATTTAGTAGGCCGAGATTACCACATGGCATGTGTACGTGCATATGCTGACGTATCGATCAGTTGGTTGCACGAGGCAAGATACGATCAGTAGTGTACGGAGCATGTGCAAGAATACAGGATGTAGTATTCCCCTCCTCCATTGTGCTGGACAAGCCATGTGGTCAAGCAGGAAGTTAATTTTTATTTGTAATGATTGGTCAAGAGAATGTGCGGGTGGAGCTTAATATGGGAGGAGTTATGTGCTTATATAGGAAGCCTGCACTATTGTTCAGGGCTCAGAACTTGCTGTATTTTTGGTGACATTAGTCCCTCTGAGTCCCGATCGGTGATCCAATAAAGAATCTCTTCTTTCCTGAAGAAACCTGTGTCCATCCCTCTGTGCTTTGCTTCCGTCAGTTTCTCCGGTATCATTTGGTGCATTGGCCGGGAAGCTCATCGTTCAACGGTAGCTGAGAGGCAGAGGCGTGAGACGGTCTATCTTTGCCCACGTTCTCTACGGCTGCACCCCTGAACTTCTGCGTGGACCTCCCTTCGTCTCGGCGCCACTGGTCTGTTGTCCAGGAGATCATCGGCCTCTACGTAAGAAGTGCTGGGGTGTCCCCGTCGATGAGTGTGAACTCAGGTTCAGGAACGAGGAGGTAAGACAACTGCTGTTTTAGACGGCAGACCCACTAGGGGTATACCGATTGTGCGGTAGGCCCAAAAGGGGTTTAAATCTGTGTATGGAATCTGCCCCTCTGTCGGAGGGAAGGAGCGAAGGCGCACCGCTCGATCGAACGCTCTTTAGTAAGACCGTTTGATCTGGTTAGTCAGGCGGGGTCCTGTGTAAATAGCCCTAGCCGGACACCGGTGTCTTGTCTAGACTAGCGTTCTAGGGTGTATATTACGTTCGCTAGGTCGGAGGGACCGGGAGACTAAGCGGCGCCTGTGTAAATTCGGTTCGCTAGCTCTCAACCTATCTTGGCTAAGTGGGAAGGCGTGTAAATTTGGAACCCACTAGACTTTGATAGAGTAAATAGACTAGAAGGGCAATTTTGTAAATTTCGCCCTCTAGTTCGCTATATGTGGTGTTTGGGCAGTGTGGCTAACCAAAACGGGTGTATATAGTTTTAGGTAGTCCATTCAAGGTACTGGCCAATAGTTTAGTTGGGATTGTAAATGTGTTAAAGATTGTTAGTAAAGTGTATATCTTGTTAGATAGCGCGAGCTCAGCCGTCTAGCGAGAGTGTTAATAGTGTGTTGCTGTATCATAGTGCACGGTACCATAACCCTGTATATTTACTGACACTGTATATAAGTACTAATCATTGTCGTCTATTGCATGTTTAACACCATAACCACTAGTAATTGTATTGTGACCTTAAATTGTGCTTTGACCTATGCTAACCGTACTGTAACCGATACTAGTAAAAGACGATGTTACTGGGGTGTGTTATAGACGGGTAATTCATATATAGAGAATTATAGCGTGGGTGACTGTATAGTTTCGCCAAAGGGCATAATATTGATTATTTAGCGACTGGTGTAACAGCTGTGTGTGTACGGGAATTCCCTGAGTGATTATTGTGTTATTGTGTACGCTTCACTTGGTAACTGTACCACGTGGTGCTGTTGCCAGAGGAAACGGGTGTGACTGTTGAATAAGAACGCGT